AGACTACTGGCCTAGTGTTGTTGGTGTTTTCTGCTTTGCTCCTTTTGAACTTTAAGTCTTACAAAGAAATTGATGCCTAGAGGCCATTTCAATTTAAACTGTTAGCCAAAGAGGCTACTGAGAAGGTGTGGCTCTGAGCATTGTGCTCTTTTTAAAGGGTTCTATTAGAAAGGTCTTGGTGTGGTTCTATAGGTTAAAGCACTGGACTGCAAGGTCAGTTTGAACCACAAGGTCAGTGGTTCAAACTCACCAGCCACTTCTTGGAAACCCTATATAGGGTCACTACGAGTTGGATCCGACTTGACAGCACTTAACAACAACATTAGAAAGGTCTATTAGAAAGGTCAGGGTCCTGGTATGGCGCTGTGGCATAATACCCAGAACTCCAAGGTCAGCAGTTCACACTCACCAGCCGCTCCTCAGAAACCCTGTACAGGGTCAGTATGGTCAGAACTGAATCAACAGGACTTAACAACAACAATTAGATATGGACTCTAAAGGAAGTATGTTGGTACTGGTGATATGGAGTAGAAACACTATTTATCAGTGGCCATTTTGTTTGGTCTCCAATGCAAAGTTAGTATGGAATACTTCTCTAATGTTTGTGATCAAGCTGTCCTCACCGTGTTGCGTAGTTGAATCTGGGAAGGGATCTAGCCTCAGATTTTGTCATTTTTTTTCAGGAGACCAAATGGTTCCTCCAGTGTGATTGGGTCCTACAGTTGTGATGATCAAAGAATTTCTGTGGAGGTTCATAATTGAAGCTGGGATGCTCTGTGGGGGTGTATACACACATATACATCTTCTTTTGAGTTTTGCCTATTCTGAGAAAGTAACTTATAATCATCGGTAGAGAGGGGCAGTTTACCTTCAGGAAGAATATTTGGGATGTTTTAGATGACTCCCTACAAGAGGATTCAACTTATGTTACACTGTTAACCATGTATCTTTCATGCGGTTGTTAGGTGCTGTTGAGTCCATTCTAACTCACAGTGACCCCATGCACACCTGAATGAAACACTGCCTGGTCCTGCACCTGTCCTCACATACGTTACTTTTGAGTCCATTGTTTCTGCTACTGTTTCAGTATCTCTTGTTGGGGATTTTCCTCTTTTCCTCTGATCTTCCACTTTTCCAAACATGATGTCCTTCTCCAGAAATTGGTCCCTCCTGATATATTCAAAATATGAGAGATGAAGTCTGTCTATTCTGACTTCTGAGGAGCAATCTACTGTACTTCTTCCAAGACAGATTTGTTTGTTCTTCTGGTAATCAATAATACTTTCAATATTTGTCGTGAACACCATAACTCAAATGGATTAATTCTTTCTTGGTTTTCCATATTCATTGTCCAATTTTCACATGTATATAAGGTGACTGAAAATACTATGGCTTGCATCAGGTGCACCTTAAATCTCAAACTTCCGTTTTTGCTCTTGAACACTTCAAAGAGATTGTGCACACAGCAGATATGCCTAATGCACTACATTGTTTAATTTCTTCACTGTTGCTTCCATGAGCATTAATTGTGAATACAAGCAAATTAAGGTCTTTGACAATTTAAATATTTTCTCCATTTCTTGTTTTTAAGTGCTGTCAAGTCTGTTCCGACTCATAACAACCCTGTATAGGGTTTCTAAGCACCTGATGGGTCTGAACCGCCAACTTCTCAGTTAGAAGTCCAGTGCTTATCCCACAGCTCCACACCAGGACTCCTTTTTCCATTTATCTTAACGTCATTTCTTTTCCCAGTTGTGAGGATTTTTGTTTTCTTTACATGGAGGTACAATCCATATTAAAGGCTGTAATCTTTGAGCTTCATCAGTAAAGATTTCAAATCCTCTTTTTCTTTCAGCAAGTAAGGTTGTGTTCATCTGCATATTGCAAGTTGTTAATGAGACTTCCTCAGATCCTGATGCCACATGCTTCATATCATCCAGCATCTTGGATTATTTGTTCAGTTTACAGATTAGATAAATATGGTAAAAGAATATAACCCTGAGGCCCAACTTTCCTGATTTTAAACCCGATTTTAAGTGTCCCCTATTCTGTTCAACTGCCTCTTGGCAGGACCCTGCTAGAATAAGCTGCAGTTAGTTGTATTTAACATTTGTCACAGGTTAAAGGAACTAGAACATTCCTTTAAGATTCAGCGCAGACGTTCCTTGGTAGCCTAGGTCTTGGACTTTTCAGGCCACTGGACTTCATCCAAATCTCTTGCTTTTACGGTTGCCTTAGCTTGGCAATTTGGGTTTATGGACTGGTAAAACGTTCATGTTTAGTATCTATTCTCATATCCTTGGCTTTTGTATTATATGCCTAAGGTTAGCTTATGAATGAGTGTTATTTGAAATCATTAATATGTTGCCTATGGAATAAAGCATCACATGGGTTAGGCCATCTTCATGAGGAGGAGTAATGTTTTTAATTTGTAGTCTGCTTATAGTTGGCTGTTGCTGTGTGCTGGAAGGAAAGAGATGTCTTTGACCGAGGTGGCGTGCGGTTAGCTCTGCTCAATTCTATAATCAGTGTAATAGACATGCCACTACTAAGTCCTGGTGAAAAATTAGATGGTCTCTGGTGAGAGACTACCATGCTATGGCCTTCATCTAGGAAGCCAGCGAAGTCCAGCCTTTAGTCATTGGTCTGACTGCCCTCAATCTCTGAGTGCTGGTAGTATGCCATGGAGTCAGTTCCGGCTCATTGTTGGTGTTGTTAGGGGCCATCGAGTCGGCACTGACCCACAGCAACCTTATGCACAGCAGAACAAAATACTGCCCGATCCTGGGCCAACCTCACTACTGTTGCAGCACTTGAGTCCATCAATGCTGCCACTTGGCTAATCCATCTCGTTGGGGGTCTTCCTCTTTTTCTCTGACCCTCCACCTTACCAAACATGATATCCTTCTCCAGTGACTGCTCCCTCCTGACAAGATGTCCAGCTCATAGCGACCCTGTATATCGAATGGGAGCAGAAAGCCTGATCTTTCTCCCGAGGAATGGCTGTCAGTTTTGATCTGCTGACCTTGCTTGAGGTTAGCAGCCTGACTCATGACCACTACACTACCCAAGCTCCTTAATCTCTGATTAAGAGGAGGAAATGTTCTCAAGCATGAAATCTGAAGGCACAGCTTAATTCCATCTTGTACCTAAGTTGAACTGTTCAGATGCCACCTTTTCGTGAGTACCTCATGTCCCTCTGATGACTGAGTGACTGAGGTCAGAAGCAGAGTGCATTTGAAATTAAGTATTGAGTCACTTCCTCCAGCCAGCACAAGCAGAACTAAAACCTCCTCACAGGAGGGACTTTCCTAGGCGTCGCCCTTGATTTTCTTCTAGCATGGCAGGCAGTGTCTGTGCCATCACCAGTAAGAGATGCCAGCTTTCTCCCTTTCCCTACTTTGGGCTCTTGGTTACTTCAGTTCTTACCCTTGTGATCACAGAAATCCTAATTTGCACCTGTTCACCCTGCTTAGTTGTGACCAAAGTGGCTCTGCAGGATAAGCAATGGACTGTAAACCACAAGGTCGGTGGTTCAAGCTGACCAGCTGTTCTGTGAGAGAAAGATGAGGTAAAGATTCACAGCCTTGGAAACCCTATACGGCGTCACTAAGAGTCAGAATGGACTCCACAGCCCTTAACCACAAGAAGCCTTAGTTAAGACAATCACTGGAGGCATAACTAAGAGCACCCAAGCAGCTGGTGTTTTCACATTGACTAACCTGTCCTGTCATTCCTCCACAGACCGAGACGAGCCTTCAAATCTGACAAGAAGTCACTGACTTCCATCGGCATATAAGAACCCCAGCAGTTAGCTTCCTTCTGAGGCCTCATCTACATCCCCGATCAGCAGGCAGTAGCCCAGTGAGAATGTAATCCTGTTTCCCAAGAACAGAAAACTACCACCACCAACAACAAAGGGCAGAGGTTACGTCACAACTGAGTAAAGCAGCTCCATCTTGTATGGAGAGAAGTCATTAGTGCTAACCTTGTCTATACATTCCTTTAGGTTAACCACCCTAAGGGCTAACATAGAAACAAAGAAGTTTCTGAAATTCCTGGTCTCCATCCCATGCCCCAAATCCCTATCAATCCTCTTTCTACTTAGGGTGACAGTCTTTGGTGAACACACAGTCCCTCTGCCTCCAGCATATCCCATATACATTAAACCTTGCTTGCTTCATCATACTCAGTTCTCTGAGTGTTGCCTTCTCTTACAGCAGGTATCAGAGCCACTATTTTGCGGTATCATTACCAGCAGCAGGAGGAAAACTGCTTTTAGAGAGTACAGCTTCTCTTGCCAGGGAGCTGACCATGTTTTAGTCTACAATGTGTCTAGGAATTTGTCTCTCCCTCCCTGGCCGGGCCTTCTCCCAGCCTCCCACATGGTCTTACAGTCTGATATCTACCCTTCCTTCCACTTCCCCTTCCTCCCAGTGAATTAAAGCACCACATTCTGGGAGATATTGCTTCTGATAGCACTGAAACCTTCATTACGCAAGGCTTCTCCAATGAAAACAAAGAGAACCCAGAAATATGTGTTCTATAGCAGTTTATTTGGAAGAGGGACTATTTAGGGACTGGGGGACATTGCCTCAAAGTCAAATGTTGTGAGCTGCTACTCTGTAAGGATTGGAATACGTGGATCTAGGCTTTTGATGGCTGAAATTTGAAAATTTCAAACTACGGCAGAGCAAAATGGTGGGGTAAGGACTGAGAAAGAGGCCAGGACAGGTCTTGAGAGGCAGTTTCTAAGGTTAAAAATTCTCTGGTAGTTAAGTGGTGGTGATCTAGAGGGAAGTAATTTGAGGCAACATCTCTCCAGGCCAGGCCTGTACTCAGTACTCATCTTTGTCTGAGAAATGCAGACCATTTCTGTTTTGCAAGCACTTGCCTTGGGTTTCTCAGTGTGCCCTTCTGATAACCAATCCTCACCCCCAAGAAACCATCCTCTGTGAGACCTTTCTTGAAAGTTTTGCCTTCAGAGGGTCAACAGTTACCTTTTGGGGATGCTGAGCACTAACGGCTTGTTGGTGAGGCTGGCCTCGCTAAGCCAAGGAATCTTCTCAAATTTTGGAACAGAAACCTGGAGAGAAATGGAAAGAGATCATCGTGAAGAATCTGCCACACTTGACCATTGCTATCATTACAACGACAGAAGTAATCTAACAGTTTCCCAAGAATGGAAAAAGTCATGCTTTATTGTTCTAGAAAAGCAAATACTTTACAAAACACTTTCACATGCTTTATATTTGACCCTTGTAACTATCCCATAAAATGGGTAAAACAGAATTATTAGTAACCTCTTTTTTCAGCCCTTTGGCTAGGTTTTCAGTCTACTCTGACATATTCTGGAAAAGAAGCAGGCTTTGAAGCTCGAGAGATCAGGGAGCTGATCTCTGTTCACGCACTTTGCAGCTGTGTGTTCTTGGTTGGCCAAATCACAGTGTATGTGAGCCCTCCGTCAAAGTAGGGCGTTATATCTGTGTCCTCAGCTGCTTTATCAGGAGCACTTAGCGCAGTGCTTGATGCTTGTTGGTCTTCACTGGACGATGAACAATGCAGGGTGGTGTGGAAATCCCAAACTCTGCGCCTGACTTAATAATTGTTGTTAAGTGCTGTTGAGTCAGTTCCAACCCATAGAGACCCTGTATAGGGCTTCCTAGGAGAGGCTGTTGAGGTTGAACTGTCCACCTTGAGGTTCAAACCGAACTTGCAGTCCTGAGAATTAATCCTCAAGACCATACCAGAAGTCCGATTTAATAATAGCAGCTCAATGAAAGTAGCTGTTATTGTCTCTTTTTTCTACCGGCCAGCCTCTCTCCTGTCCCTATCCCCACTTGTCCCACTAGGCCCTTTGATGCCGCATTACCTGACTTTCTGTTGGGATTTCCTTTCCTATTGAGGAGTGTTCCCAGCGTTCCTTTTGGTCAGGTCTCTGGAAGAGAAGCCAGGAGGCCTTCCAAGCCGCCAGCAGGGAGCAACAGCGTTCTCGTGGTTCTCCCGAGGCGGAGACAGACGCTCTTGCCGCTGAGGTTGTGGTGGACCCGGAAGTGTTCTGTCGCCTTCGCAACACCCCCCGGCGCCCCGGATGGGGAAGGAGGCGGGCGGCCGCCCTCCTCTGGCCGCTCCCCCCTGGGAATCCGCGGGTAGGTGGGTTCCTAGTGGGCGTCAGTGGTTCCGAGTCCCCTTCTCCTTTGCCATCTCCCGTAGTCCCAAGGCTGGGTGAGGGGCTGCGGCAGTCAGGGGAGGCCCGGGAGGGTGGGTAAGGCACCCCAGGGACACCCTACCTCCACCCAGCCCTGCCGGTGGGCGTTGCCCGTCTGGGCGTGGGCTGCCTTGGAGGGTGTCTGGCTTGAGAAGCAAAGCTTATCGTGGTCTCCATGGAAGAAATCAAGGTTGGGCAATAAGAGGTTTTTTCCTCTTTAGATTTGCTGCATGGCCTTGGTGTTTCTGACTCTTAATCGTTGTGAAAAGCGAGTGATGATTTTCTTTTCTTTGGTTCTTACAAGAGTTTTGCGGCTGTAAGACGAATGATAACTCTTTAAAGGGTGTTAAACTCAATTAATGGCTGAAGAATCTTTAGTTTCCTTTATTCCTTGGTATTGACTAAATGAACCACAGAGCCTTTATCTTGCTGTAGTGTGCTTATTGTACTGTTATCCTTAGACCAGACCCTCTGAAGTCTATTCGTAGACTCAGGGGTCCATGAACCATAAATTAAGAACTGGTTTAGACGATGTCAGTCACAGGCTTGAGATCTGACGTTGGTTTGAATCCTGGCTCTGTTGTTAACTTTGGCTGAAGTTTCCAACGCAATTGGAACCTCAGCCTTTTTACTAGTTAAAGTGGGACTGATAACAACTTGGAAAGATTGTGAAGATTAAATGAAAGTTTGCAAGGCACCTAGTACATGGTAGGTGCTGAATAAATGCTAACTCACATTTATTATAAACGTGAGCTATTACAATGTACACGTTTTAAAAAGTTGTAGTTTTAAAATGTGAAGTGCAATTTTAATGTTCATAATTAGAAAATGACCACCAGGTTTTGCGCAGACTTGTAGTGGACTGAGTTGGTTTGATTGTTTAACTGAGTCCTATCCTAAACCCTTCACAACTTTCAAAGTTCATTGTCTCTCTCTTTCTAGGCAACTGCTGTACTATCCTGCCTCAGAGAACAAGCTCATCTATCAAAGGCCTAGCCTGGGTTGCTGCCTTTGAAAGCAAGGGAAGGTGGATAAAATATCAACTACAGCACAGCATGGAATTTCCAGAGAGGTCTTATTTCAAAACTTTGTAAAGAACCAGAACCACATGGACTTCTGCGGGGGAGACTGAACTGGCCGGAGTTTGAGGGAAAGTATAATGTGTGACCAACCAGTAACTAACACCAAGGAGGCCAGGTGGCAGAAGGTCCTGTATGAACGACAGCCATTCCCAGATAACTATGTTGATCGGCGATTCCTGGAAGAGCTCCGGAAAAACATCTATGCCCGGAAATACCAATACTGGGCTGTGGTGTTTGAGTCCAGTGTGGTGATACAGCAGCTGTGTAGTGTGTGTGTTTTTGTGGTTATCTGGTGGTATATGGACGAGGGTCTTCTGGCCCCACACTGGCTTTTTGGGACTGGCCTGGCTTCTTCACTGATTGGCTATGTTCTGTTCGATCTCATCGATGGAGGTGAAGGGCGGAAGAAGAGTGGGCGGACTCGGTGGGCAGACTTGAAGAGTGCACTAGTTTTCATTACTTTCACATATGGTTTTTCCCCAGTGCTGAAGACCCTGACCGAGTCGGTCAGCACTGACACCATCTATGCCATGTCAGTCTTCATGCTGTTAGGCCACCTCATCTTCTTTGACTACGGTGCCAATGCTGCCATTGTGTCCAGCACACTGTCCTTGAACATGGCCATCTTTGCCTCTGTCTGCCTAGCCACACGGCTGCCCCGGTCCCTGCATGCCTTCATCATGGTGACATTTGCCATCCAGATTTTTGCCTTGTGGCCCATGTTGCAGAAGAAACTGAAGGCATGTACTCCTTGCAGCTATGTGGGGGTCACACTGCTCTTCGCGTTTTCAGCCCTGGGAGGCCTGCTATCCATCAGTGGCGTGGGAGCCATCCTCTTTGCCCTTTTGCTTGTTTCCATCTCGTGTCTATGTCCTTTCTACCTCATTCGCCTGCAACTCTTTAAAGAAAACATTCATGGGCCTTGGGATGAAGCTGAAATCAAAGAAGACTTGTCCAGGTTCCTCAGCTAAGTTAGGGGTCTCCAGAGTCCATGATTAAGGCAAGCTGATAAACTAGTCTCCCAACTAGTATAAGATATGAAGACGGAGTTCCATTCTGGAAGTAGCATGCTTATATAGGTGGGAGAGCAGAGTTCAAAAGAAAAAGTTAACCAAAGGCTGAGGTGGGGAAGGTTCTTTCTGTTATTTTGTGGATGGCAAACCTTTGCAGGGCCCTCTTGAATTATTGCCTCTTATTTATTATTCACTGTAACAAATGAAGTGATTTGGCTCCTATTTATTAAAAAAAAACCACGTCAATCACTTGGTCTCATGATTTTTCTATAGAAGTAAATAAATAGAAGGGACCTGTAGAGGAAAGAGAGTAAAAACTACAGAAATGTAGTCCAGGTGTGGTGCTGCAGGATAATGCGCTGGACTGCAAGGTTGGTTTGAATCACAAAGTCGGTGGTTCAAACCCACCAGCTGCTCCTCAGAAACCCTAAATGGAGTTGCTACGGGTCAGAACTGACTCAACGGCACTAACAGAAAAGAGAATATGCAAATTTATATATAGGGTTTCCGAGGCTTTGAATCTGTGGAAGCAGAAAGCCTCGTGTTTCTCCTGTGGAGCAACTGGTGGGCTCGAACCGTTGACTTTGTGTTCACTGTTAAGTGCTTTTCGTATGGAACCCCTGCTCTCCTTGTATATTCTTACATACATGCATACATATGTTGTGAAGTGCTGTCAAGTCGGTTCCAACCCATAGCGACCCTGTATAGGGTTTCCAAGGAGCAGCTGGTGAGCTTGAACTGCCGACTCTGGTTCAAACTGACATTGCAGTCCAGTGCATTAGCCCACAGCTACATAGGACTACATAGATATGTTGTTGTTAAGTAACTTGGAGTTGATTCTGACTCATAGTGGCTCTGTACAGGGTTTCCAAGGCTGCAAATTCTTTACAGGAGCAGAAAGCTTCATCTTTCTCCCGTGGAACAGCTGGTAGTTTCAAACTGCTGACCTTGAGGTTAGCAGCCCTATTTGTAACCATGCCATATATATATATATATATATATATATATATATATATATATATTTAGCACCGATGTGGACTTCATTATCTAGAATTCTAATGTCTAATCCTAGAATTTTGGATACTTGGTCTAGTTTACTAGTTGCCCAAGATCACAAAGTTGGTTTTAGTTAAACTTAATTCAGAGTTTATACTTTGTTCTGTGTATAACCACAGATATTTTTAGCAAACATTTTGTCTGTCATTGAGCCGAAGTACTTTTGTAGGGTAACTGAAATATGAACAAAATAGAGGCTCTCTACACTTGGTTGCTTATGCAGTGAAGTTTGTGCACCATTACAAGGAGTAGTGTGATGCTCTAGGAGTTCAGAGAGACTGGGGGTAAAGTTCAGCTAGTTAGGAAGTATAAAGGAGTTAGAATTTGAAGTTAGTCTTGGATGGTGGGTGGTGTTTAGATGGTAAGAGCCTTTAGATGGTGAAGGCCTTCTGAGGTCATGTCAGTTCTATGAACCAGTGAAGCTATGGTACTATGACTAATGGCAACTCTGGAAAACTGGAGACAGTGTGCCCCATACAGTGAGGGCTAACACTCTGCTCCATCTGATTGTTTCTATTAACATTTTGGGCCTAGATTCAGATTTGTGGAATTCCAAATGAAATTTCACTAGCTGCAAATCTGGTTTTCATTGTGCAAACTGACTTGTAAATTTCCCTTTAAGTTTAAATAAAAGGAACCCCCTTGCAAGATAAAAGCATTTGCAGGCAAAATGTGACTACTAGTGGCACTGTAGGATAAGCGCAGGACTGCAAGGTCGGTTTAAACCACAAGGTCAGTGATTCAAACTCCCAGTAGCTCCTCAGAAACCCTATATTGGATTGCTATGAGGTGAAACTGACTCATTGGCACTCAACAAGTGTTCCACATGTATTTTGGGAATAGGCACAGAGACCGACAGATAAGTTTAATGGGAGTTTAAGTTTATGAGGACTTGTTGGGGTGGAAAGTGGAATGGAAGGTTTGAGTAACAATTTGAAGCCTAGTATAGAGGATTTGAAGCCTAGTATAGTGGATTTGAAGCCTAGTATAGCGGAATGCTGGTGTGGTGCTGTAGGTTACTGCGCCAGACTGCAGAGCTGTTTGAACTGCAAGATCGACGGTTCAAGCTCACCAGCTGCTCCTCAGAAACCCTATACAGGGTCACTATGGGTTGGAATCAACTTGATGGCATATTAACAACAACATAGTGGATTAAGGAGCTCTGGTAGCATAGTGGTTACGAGTTGGGCTGCCAACTTCAAAGTCAGCAGTCCAAAACTACCAGCAGTTCCGCGGGAGAAAGATGAGGCATTCTCATGTAAAGATATACAGCCTTGGAAACCCTGTGCAGGGTCACTATGAGTCAGAACCGAGTCCATGATACTTAACAACATAGTGGATTAGGAGCTGAGCTGCTAACCACAAGGTCAGTAGTTCAAATCTACCAGTCACACTGCAGGAGAGAGGTGAGGCTTTCTGCTCCCATAAAGGCTTGCAGCCTCTGAAACTCTACAGGGTTGCTATGAGTCGGAACCCACTCCACCACACATAACCACCACTGCCATAGATAATCTAGAATTTAGGCTCTATAAATTGTAGGTAATGACTCCTATACTATTTAGTGTTAGCTGTTACTGTGTTGGTGTGGCACTGTAGGATAACCACTGGACTGTTAACCACAAGGTTGACAGTTCAAACCCACCAGCCACTCCTTGGAAACCCTGTTCAGGATCCCTATGAGTCAGACTCCATGGCACTTAACAACAAATAGTATAATGTGTCTGCCAGTTTTCAAAGCATTTTGTGTACATTATCTAATTTAATCAATATAATCCTAGAACTAGATACTAGTATCTATCATATACAGGGTTGGTATGAGCCCTAATCCACTCACTCCAGGGCACTTTTAACAACAATTATGGTTACTATGTTGATACGTAGACTGACTCGAGACCAGAGACAAGGTGTAAAATGTAGCAAGTGCCTCTGAACAGATGATCTTCATGAGGTAATTCATTTGGGGCAAGTTGCTATACTGTACCTTTGCTAGAAATTCAGAAATCTCATCAAGGCATGGTGTTCTTAAGAAGTAATGCTCTTGTTTCTCTGAACACAGATTTCTCAAAAATGCCTTGAACAGGAGAATTCAGAACTTGTACCTTTAGCTCACTCGATTCACACAGTTTTTTCTGATTAGAATTTGGACAGATGACTATTTTTTTTCTTGATAAAAGTTCTGGTAGCATAGTGGTTACGAGTCAGGTGTCAGCAGTTCGAAACTACCAGCTGTTCTGCGGGAGAAAGATGAGGTTTTCTGTTCCTGTATAGATTTACAGCCTCGGAAACCTTATGCAGGGTCCCTGAGTTGGAACTGACTCCACGGCACACCACCACCACTAAAGCCAGTTAAGTAAAGTGGTGGCTCTGTAGAATTAGCACTGGACTGTGAAGTACACGGTCAGCAGTTCCAGCCTACCAGCCACCCTGTGGGAAAAAGATGAGGCTTTCTGCTCCCTCAAAGATGTACAATCTAAAAACCCTCTACAGGGTTGTCGAGTCAGAACAACACCAACAAAATCAATTAGACTGGTTTCATGGACCCAAAACACTGGTCAGTGGAAAAGAATGGTCTCAAGGACAGACTGGTGGAGCCCAGAACATCCATCTCATGTACATTGAGTTTGGTCTTCTCAGGTCTCCAGAGTGGCCAGATTTGGTTCACATTTATTATACAGTCCACATCAGGGCCAGGTGCTGGTGGTTGAAGGTGATAAGGAGTTGTATAAAAAAATTTTTTCTTTCATGTTTTAACAATTTGCCTTATTTGCATGGATTTCCAATATTAAATTTTAGGGAATTTACATGGTGACCATATCCATAGATGTGAACAGAATACTCCGTATTTGAACCACTTTCAAGAATTGTTCCTTGGAATGAATGAATGAATGAATGAATGAACATGCCTGTGTCAGTTACAGCTCTTTCCTCCCTTACTGTGTAGTGTTTGGAGTCAGTCAGGTTCTGATCCTATTCATTTTGGCGGTGGTAGAAATTCAATGTGGAGATGGCAAGGGGTGGGGAGACAGGATGGACTGGGGTGAAGGGTGGGGCAGGAGACTCATTTTGGATGGAAGAATGATGGCTGTAGGGAGAAGACTGTTACAGCCCATTGAGTGATGCATTTTGGCTATGGTGAGGACCCCGGGGTAGGTGGGTTATAGTGAGGCGGGATGAACCTGAGAACACTGAATAATTTGCATTATTGCATGCTGTTTTTGTTTTAAGTGCCGTTGAGTCGATTCTGCCCCATAGCAACCCTATATAGGGTTTCCAAGGAGCTGGTGAGCTTGAACCACCAACCTTGCAGTTCAAATGGCTTTGCAGTCTGGCACATTAGCCCACAGCGCCACACCAGGCTTCTACTATATAGAGAGTATATATACATGCAAATACTAGTGGTTGTTATGTGCCGTGGAGTCGGTTCTGACCCATAGTGACCCTGTACAGGGTTTCCGAGGCTGTAAATCTTTACGGGAGCAGAAAGCCTCATCTTTCTCCCACGGAGCAGCTGGTAGTTTCAAACTGCTGACCTTGAGATTAGCAGCCTGATTCGTAACCTGTAGTCAATGGGAAATAAAGGAGCTTTTAAAATGGGATATGGTAAGATTCTATATTATACACACATATTAATTAGTTGATTAGTGCTGTTGAGTCGATTCTGAGTCATAGTGACCCAGTATAGAGTTTCTGATATCTATATTATATATATCCTGGTACAGCCAACGTACATAGAAAGACTCCCTGGGTAGCACAAATGATTAAGCACTTGGCTACTAACCAAAAAGGTGGTGGTTCAGATGCACCCAGAAATACCTTGGAAGAAAGGCCTGGTCTACCTTTAATTGTCATGTTGTTGTCATTGTCATGTGCCATGGAGTCGGTTCCAACTCAGCGACCCTGTA